TTTTCCTACTCATTTTTATGGTACCAGGTTGTTTTTTTACAGGATTCCTAGTTCAGTGGTGTCATCTTCTATCAGCATAGCAAAGTCAAGATACATGAAGAGATTTTTGTTTGGGTTGAGTAGGGAAGGGTTGTACATCCTCTGATTGTTCTGGTTCACTTTGTTTTGTAGGACCTTTAGATATTTAGATATTTTTGCATGCTGCTCCTTCAAGTTGCACACACTTTTACCTAAGTTCGAGGTGGGAGTTGGAGAGCCACCTTAGGCCCCATTGCCAGCTCCTTACTTCTCTCTTTTGCAAAGTTTTTCTCATTCTGCCTTTCCTTACACAAAACTTCAGGGTGAGGCAAGGGCAGAGTAGAAGTATAAGAGACTGCTTGCTGGGATTTGGTGTTCATTTCTCTTTTTATTTATTTTTTTATACTTTACCCTCTCACTGAATTAAGATTGAGACCTAACACACTCTGGACCTGTCAAAGGAGCAACATTCTCATGGAAGATGTTTTAGGTCAGTAGTATGCAATCTGGTTTGCACCTCAGAATTATCTAGGGAGCTTTCATCAGTGCAGATTCTCAGTGTCAACCCTCACATATTCTTGTTAAGTAAGTCAGGTCGAGGCCTCAACATTAAAGTAAAAAAATTCTGACTGGCCAAGTTGGGAATCATTGTGGTTGCAAAAACCTCTGTCCTGATGCATTCTAGCAGTTTCTGGGGGTGCACACCCACACACCCCTCCCACTGGTGTGGTGGACTTGACCATCTCATCCATTTTGTGGACAGCAGAAAGTGGTGGTAAGGATTATCAAAGCAGCTTCTCAGAGTATAAGGAGGACTCGTGATAATCCATTAATGGCTTCTTTTAAGGCTCAGGGCAATGTTCACAGCCGATGTCAGGAGTGCTTAGAAACTTCTGGTTAAACTCTTCTGGTATGTTCTGGCTAACAACAATGGGGTATGCCACCAGAACTCTAAACCCTGTCAAGACTATGTACTTGGCCTCTTTCCAGTGTTCCACCCCTCCCTTCTCCAGGACTGAGGTAGACCTTTGGGAAAAGGAGGAAGACAGTGGGAGAGAAAAGGATGAAAATTCTCTTCCTCTTCATAGTGTTCTAAACCCTACTAACTGATTCTCTAGTTCTGAAAAACTTGCCAGTTGATTTTGATGTAATAACCCTGGCTAAGAACCACTACCTTAAAATATTCGAGAAATATAACACTTGAAAAAGTATAGATGGGATGTTATGTGATACCCAGAAATATCACTAGACTCATATTCAATTTTTGTATTAAGATTCTTCTTTTCTAGATATCTATTTGTTTCAGCAGTAGTACCTGTGGTCACCTTTAGCTTCCAGTGTGTTCAGTGGTATGATTCCTCCACAATGGAATCATGGAGGAGCCTTTTTAAACATACCAATTCCCAGGCTACCCCTCTAAAGTCTGACTGAGTAGAGCTGAGATAAAAGCCAGGAATCTGCAAGCTTGATAAGTGCACTGGGGGATTCTGAAGACACACTTTGAGAAATGCTGTTTTAGTCCACTGTGGCTCTCAAACATCAGAACTTAACAAGATAGCTCTGTTCACTAAAAAAAAAACAGTGTAGGCAACTTAGTTCTTCAAAATGCCAGAAATATCTGTCTTTGCCAAAAGGCACCAGTTGTCATGGTCAATCGATCATGTTCTTCTAAATTTTCTGTTCCCTTTTAATCTCTTTGATATTTACAGATATTCTGTCTGAGTCACTAAAACGTATGGTCTGTAATATGACTAATACTTTTGGGATATTTAATAAATAAAAACGAGCAATTACTGTGAACCTCATTAGCACATATATTCCCCCCATTGCTGCCCCTGGAAATACCTTGTACTATGGATAAAAACAGACCTGGATGCCCACCCTAAACAGGGATCTACAACTCTCCTTTAAAGGGTCCGTTCTGGCTTTGTTAATTAAACTGACTTCAGCAGGAGAAGCTGTCTGGCCATCAAATGCATGTGCAGATGCTAGATGGACAGGGAGTCTGCCACTGCCAAGATTTCAGGAGGGAACAGAAGGACGCCAGTACCTCTGGCAGTGTCTCATCCACTCTAGTGACCCATGGGGAACATCTACCTCCACCCCTGCCCATCTGTTGATGACAACCAATTACCTGATACTCTTTCGGGGTTTCCATCAAGAAAATCCTCAACTCTAAGCAAAAGGAGGTAAGAAAAGAAATCCAGGCCAGTAAGAACCAGATTAGAGTATGTGCCAGCTTACCCAACAGAACCAAATCCTGCTCTGATCATAAGATACAAAATCACAGTCAACTTCTCAGCAATATATGATCCATTGTATTTCATATCTGTCTACAGTTTTTGAGCTGCCAGTGAAAAGCAAACCAAAATGCACAGATCTCAAAGATGAATATGGAAAGTAAACACATAAACTCAAATTGCTGATTCAAGTCATAAGAATTTTAATAAAATTGGTCTCAAGTCTTCACAGGAAGATGAAAATATTACCTAATTAAAAGTAGATTCCTGGGCCAGCCCGGTGGCGCACTGCGATAGTGCGCCACTTGGGAAGCGCAGTGGCGCTCCTGCCGAGGGTTCGGATCCCACATACAGACCGGCCACTCACTGGCTGAGCGAGGTGCGGGGGCAACGCTGAGGGTTGTGATCCCGTTGCCGGTCCTGGTCCGGTACGGGCGCAACACTGAGGGTTGCAATCCGTTGCCGACCACGAAAAAAGACAAAAAGGAAAAAAAAAAGTAGATTCCTCTCTCTCTCCTATTTGGTTACCAGATACCTTCCTGCTACCAGTTATAGCAGATTAATGTATACTATTCTAAAGTAATATTTAACAGACAACATCATGTAATTAAAACCATTACACTGGTTTTAGAAGGCAAGATTCGAAGCAAAGAAAAATTCCCAAGAAAGTGTGTTAAAATTTGGTCTTCTGCTCTGTGTCCAACAATGCATGTTTTTCTACCAGTTCTCTTGATGCTTCTAAGCACAAATTCTACTTTACAGCGTGAACAAAACCAAGTTAATTTATGATCTAAATTATTGTATTTAGGATCTTTCCTCAGTTACATAACCACAGAACTGGTAATAATGATTTATTATCACAAAAATATATAAAAAGGAACAACCATGTATTTTCAAGATTTGTATTATGGAGCAAATTGAATAGAGGAATTGAAGCAAAGTTTCATTAAAGCTTGCAGCTCCTTGCCAAACACAGAGCTATGTTGTATTATACAACAACAAAGTATTGTTCTTCATATCATGAGCCTAAATTATGACAGACCAACCTTACCATTTTCAGTCTCTTCTATTCTCTTAAACTTACCTTTTATTACGGTTTATTATGTAGTTATTTTATACTCTACATTAGCTTGTAAGTTCCTTGAGGGTAAAACCTGTGTTTAGTGATTTCTCAGTACCCTAAGGTATTCAACACAGTGACTTAAACCTATGAGGACAGTAAGATAATTGCTGTACTGAACCATGTAAACTAGAACAAATCACAACTGAAACCACCTGCAAGAAACCTTTATCAAAGATTGTTTTCTAAAATATTTTACTGTTTTTCATGTTTTTGGGGGTTGACCTGCTTCATAACTGTCAGTACTAGTTTCTTCCTTCCCCTAAAACTCATAAAACCAAATACACAATACCTGTACATTTTTCTGAATGTAAATTATACCCCAATAAAAAATATATACCAAATTTTTTTAAAAATTGGTAGGTTGGGTAATTGTAACAAGGATATATATACACAGGGATGCACACATACACACACACACACACATACACACACAAATTTATTGAGGAGTATGCTTTAGAGTTATACATTTTACTGAATATGAGTTACATCATCATAATAAAAGGAGAAGAAGAAAAATATATAAAGCCAGGAGTGAGAGTAGTATTTAAAATTCCTTAAATTTTCTATCATTCATTAAATAAACATTTGTTGAGCATCTCTCCCTTTATTCGGGACATGATATGAGACATTGAGAATAAAACTATAATTAAGACATGGTAACTGGCATCACAGAGCTAATAATGTAATAGTGGAGACAGGCAAGTGAACAAAAAATTACGATGCAGCACGTGATGCATGTTACGACAGGAGTAAGCACAGGGACTTGAGAACACAGGATGGGATGTCTGTTTAGCTTAGGAGAGCCACACAGTTCCTAGACTGCTGCTTCACCCACATAACACCGCACATGCTAAAACATATCTAAACTTACCCCTGTCCCTGAATCAAAATAACTTCTTCAAATGCTTAGTGATACAAGTTATTTAGAAAAATTTTGTTTGTTCAAAAGAAAATAATTCATTTAAATGTGAGGGGAAATTGCGGTAAAGATAAAGACGGATTAAAAAAAAAAAAAAAAAAAAAAAACCAAACAAACTCTAGAAAAATCCATTTCTGTCACCAAGCCACAAATATGGGAAAGCAGGAACAGAGA